TTGACTCCTGCACCTAAATACACACACACACACACACACACACACACACGGGTGTGCTCACACACAGACACACACACACACACACGCACAGATTGAAGGCTCAGTGCCAGGGCTCTTGGTGGTTGGAGGCTTATGAAAGGGTCGGACTGACGAGAGGTTGCCAAGTGTACGGCAATAAGCGTAACAGCCAAGCTAACGAGAGTCAGAACCTCTGACACACACACACACACACACACACACTGAGACTGTACTGTCAGGCTCTCAAGCTCTCTCAGTAGTCAGCGGAGGGGTCGAGAAAATGTGTGTGTCTGCGCGTGAGAGAGTTCAGTATATCAGTGTGTGGACAGAGGCTTTTGTTAATTGGCAAATGTGACAATAGAGCATGAGAGGATATTGATCTTCAATCGGATGCAGATCGATTTAACTCGTCATCCTTCCAGGTGTGTGTGTGTGTGTGTGTGTGTGTGTACGTTCGATCAGCAGCATCAGTCCATTCACAGAGCCACAGCAAAGAATATCACTCCATTACGTTATCTGTGTTTGCTTCTTTCACCTCGTGACATTCATTATACCTCCACTATCTGCTCTTAGTGTCTTCCTTTTGTCCTCTCCTGTTTGCTTCTTCATCCTCCTCTTCATCCTCCCTTTCTCTTTAGACTAGCGAGGAACCTTGGGACGGTTTGGCCTGTTATCTGTTGTCTCGCTGTTTTGTTTCACTGTAGATTTCATCAAGCACTCTTCAGCAGCTGCTGAGACAAACGCACAAAAGAGAGTGCAGGGCTATTTCAGGTATAGATTCAATTTTTTTTTATAACTTGGCTCATGCAACATACTGCATATGAGTTGGTTTAATAACTGCAAGAGCAGATCTGTTATAATACAAGAATGAGAATATAACCTTGACTTTTTTTAGGGTGCGTTTTCGTCACTTTCTGTGGATTGTGCATGAAAGTGTTTATTGTGTTACTCTTTCTAAACAGGACTGCCGAGCATTTTGAGCTGAGACTGGTTGATTCATGCTTAATTAAAATCCTAATGGTGTGCTTTAAAGGTGTGAAAACACGGATGCACTCGTAAAAAAATATGTCTTTTTTTTTGTGTGTAACTTTTATCCTTTAGGGTTGAATAAAAATTCCATCTTGAAATATCCCCCAAACTATCACAGGTGTTATTTCATTTAACTCTTCATAGCAGCAATAGTGTGACAGTTATAAAAGCTACTTTCTGTGGAGAATTTAGAATTGTTTCGCCTTTTGTAGAAATATTTCTCCCTGTATGACGGTGAAACATCAGAGTAAAATGGCGTCTCTGAAGCTCTGGCTGTTAAATTCTGAATCACTGAGAACCAAATCCTGACGTTTATACTGTTAAAGCTCCAGACTTGCTGCTATCAACTCCGCCGTGGCTGCGCTGAAATATAAGCGACGTCCCAAAATTTATGTTTGGCCCCGTTATCCATGAGAATACCAAAAATATGCCAAGCAGCAAAACCTGCCCGGAAAAACAAGGCACATTTCCAGCACTTGTTTTTTTTTGTAAAACAGTGTTTAAGTGTTTTTGAGTGGATTTTCCCCTCAGCAAATCACATTACAGTCAATCATAAGTAAACTAAAGCAGATTTTGCTCACTGTAAGTACAGCTGGCTGTATTAGCATGAATAGAAACTCATAATTCGGAGTCTTATTACCCTGAGATTGTCAACATCGGAGGATTCGCTGCCTGTGTGTAGACACGCTTTTCCAACTCATGATGCCAACTGGGAGAAATGGGTGACATACGAACACATTTTTCTACTTTAATTACCACTGAATGACTGAATGGAGCTGCTTTCTCAGTCAGCAGCTTGTATTTATGGTAAATAACATGTGCTTATATAGCAATAAGCTGCGCATAATCATAATGTCACTTGGGTCAGAGTTGGATTTTTTGACATAGATCTGTGGTTGATCAGAACATCCAACCCACTGATGAGTACAGCTTGCGTATCATCTCACTTTTCCTTCAATGTATCTCATCCGTTGTGGCTAATTCGGTGCGTTCATCATTCGGTGTTCCTGCTCAGAGGTATGGGGACGCAGCGGTGATAGATGGAAAGGGGAATGTGCGGATGAGGATAAAACAAAAACGGAAACAGAGGGCAGGAAGAAAAGTAGGGGGAGGAGGAAAGAAAAAGAACAACACAATGACAGAAATAAGGTTTACGTTAACGGCTGGCCTCCAAGATGATTTTCCATATCAGCAGACCAGAGGGAGCAGGCAAATATGATTTTCTCCTCAACTCGCAAAAACAGAAAACAGACAGAGAGGGGAGAGAGGGAGGTGACAGGAAAGAGGGGATGGGGGGTGGAGAAAGGGGAAGAGATGAGTAAATGGAAAAAAGATGGGGATCTGGGGGAAGGGAGATCTAGAAAGGGTGAGAGATTAAAGAACATCTGTGGGGAGAAAGTCAACAAGGAATGCTGAGTATTTACACCACGAAACGTATATCAATATCACTCCTGTTTGAAATCAGTGTAACAAATTTTTTTTTAATGTCTTCTTTAATACAACTTGACTTTTATGGCCCTTGGAGACACTTCAAGATTCATCATGTCATTTCAAAAGTGCATGGCTACTCAGCTTTCTTTTCTAATATCTGTTGTAGTAAACAAGGTGCGGTGAGCGACGAGTGTGCATCAGTCACCATTTGACGTGTGTGTGTGTGTGTGTGTGTGTGTGAGAGTCTGCTCTGCCAGGAGGGGCTTGTGAAACCAACCTGAGTCTTATATGAGCTGTGTTTTATTATGACTGGCTGAAAGGCCACTGATCTACAGTTGTACAAGAAAAGATTTGGACGAAAAAAAGAGAAGAAGAAGAAGAAGAAGAAGAAGAAGAAAAAAACACTGTAAAAATATCCTGTCTGAGAGAGGGTGAGGGAGAGGACGAAAGAGAGAAAATAAATGTCTAAAAGGGAAAGATTCTTCTTCCTCCAAATTTATTATGACTACAGAGAGTGAAAATATCAAGCGCAAAGGATGGAGAGATTTCTACTTTTAAATTGTCTTCATCTGTGTGTGTGTGTGTGCCAGTGCTTCAGATCCAGCTGTATAAATAGACACACACACACACACACACACACACACCTCTTTCTGGTTTGTCTCCTTCTACACACCGCTGCTCCATCTCCCTCTTGATTTATCCCATGCCCTCTCTCTAATGTGCACGCGTGTTCTTCACTGTGTGAGAGAGAGAAGAGAGGCAGATTGGCAGACAGTTGAAGGCACTTGTGGTTGTGGTTGTTAGGGCGTCGGGTCGTGGTTGAGGTGACGGTACAGTACATGTACACGTAAGTGTGTTCTTGTGTGTGTGTGTGTGTGTGTGTGTCTGTGTGTGTGTGTGACTCCTATGCGGACTGTTGTGGTTGTGGTAATTGTCTCTGATGCGAGGCAGCATTTATGGGTAACGGCCCAACCTCCCCCCCCCCTCTCTCTCTCTCTCTCTCTCTCTCCATCCAGTGACTAATTACCTGATTCCCCATGGGTTTGTTTCCTCCTTCCCCTACAACTGTTCAGGTTGTTCCACTAAATGAGAGCATGCTGATAAGTAGAAATACATTCAAACTGAGCCAAACTGAGCTGAGCCTGTTCGCTCACTCTGCTGAAACCGTAACAGGGCGAGATTGAGCGTCTGTGCTCTCTCTCTTTGTCCCTTTCTAATAAGAAGTTTTTACTCCGATAGTTCCAAACTGCATTCCCATGGAATATGATTTGTCAATTCTTTACCAGGGTATGATCACAGGTCATAACCTGGTTGTAGCGTCTGTGGAGTTTACAGCTCGCTTTGTCAGTGACGTTGAAACCAGAACGCCTGAATTTGGAATGCTTTTTCGTGCTCGTTTCGAACCTGCCTTCCCACCTGAGTTGAATCAACCAATTAGTGAATTTTTGTGAAGTGAAGTTTTGTAACCCGTTTCAAGTTTCCTCTGTCACTTGAAGCCATTTGAAGTACAGCTTAAATTTATGCCACATGTCTCAGGCCCCATTTATTCTTGTTCCCGAAATGTTTATGTGATTTTATTATAATTATTTTGATTGGTATAATTGTCGTTATTATTATTATGTTATAATTATAGTTGTTACAAAGATGTGTGAATAACAGATATGTAGGGAGCATGAAACATTCTCTGTTTACTTAATACCTTCTCAATGCTTCTTCTGTGGTGCAGCTTGCTCACATTTTATCAGCCAGCACCTCTCTAACCTCCCGCATCTGTGTCTCTCAGGTGCTTCCTTCATGGGTTCCTTCCTGGCCAGCAGTCTGGGGTCGCCGCCCTCCCACCCTCCTCACCCCTCGGGACCCGCTGCCTCCCCCTCCTCCCCCTCCTACAGGCATGGACCCCATTCGAGCGCTTCCCCTATCTGGTTCCCCCATTCACATGAAGGTAAGACACACACAGGAACACACACACACACACACGCACACACACACATGCAGGAGGTAGCCCAGAGTGCTTGGGTCTCTGGTTAATCCAGGGTCTTGGTTTTGGGATTAGATCGAGATGGAGCCATTAAGTGGTTTAACCAACACTGAACTGAGGCCACACACGCGCAGCAGTGACGCCTCAGACGATGCTACTTATAGAAACACACACACACACACACACACACACACACGTACACAGAGACAACTCTCTTCTGGCTCTGTATGTCAGCATAGCATGTGGCTTTGTGTTTGTGGCGGTTTGTCTAGTTCAGAGCTCGAGCATCCTGACGCTTTCAAAAATGGTACACGACTGATGTCTTCTGCTTCCTCTTGCCACACAAACAAATACACAAATACACACACCTTCATGCAGTGCAGAAATTAGATCAAAACACAGTAATTCACAATATACTTCAGGCTCCTTTCATTCACTCCCCCCCCTTTCACTCAATCATCTTTCAGCCCCCTGCTCTCTGTTAGGGGCCAGTTTTAAGTTTCATGAGCTCCTACACCCCCCCTCACACACACACACACACACACACACAGACAGACTGAAACTCACCCCCATTTCCACCATCCTCTCCCTCTTCACAGTCCCCTCCCCCTCCGACCGCAGCCCCACCCTCAGGGCCCCTTCTGGGCAAACCGACCTCCAACGGCCCCCTTCCTGATCATACACACACATGCACACAAAAATGTGCGCATCCACATGCATCATGTCCTCTTTCGGCTGTTAACCGTTTGTGGTCAAAGAGTGAGCTTGACTTAGTTATCTGTCCCTTTCAGGTATGTGTGTGTGTGTGTGTGTGTGTGTGCGCGTGTGTGTGTGTGTGTGAGAGAGAGGATTTCTCTTTTGACAGCGAGATGGGTCTAAACAGATAACCTCCAAAAAAGGCTTCAACAGAAAGACAGCTTCCGCCACAGGCTGTATTTCTCAACTAACGTTGAAAACGGTCAGAATCTGAATTTCCCGTTTCGCCGGCTTTTCACAAAATGTGAGCAAGTAAACGACAACACCCCGTTAGTGATGTCACCTTGGGAAAGCATTTGACATCTCCAAACATTGTTGCCAGAGACTAAAATGGAAACCAGTCAGCTTTCGGTGCAGACGTAAGCTTTATTTGTTTTCTCTGATATCGTACAAAGTGACGCTCTTCAGTCCTCTGACTATAGGCAGCTTTGACATGACACAGCAGTAAAAAGCACAGGTGTAATCAATTACAACAATTACGACTGCATTCCATTGAGATGAGCCAACATCCTGGCATGCTGACTCGCTGGAATGACTTACTGGGAATCTTAATTGGATCCCTCGTTAATGTTAATAATTACACCTGTGCTTTTCCTGCTATGTCAAAATGTCCCCTGAGAAAAAGGACTCTTCTGACTTGTTTCTTCATATTATTATACTTATAATTTAATTTATATTGTACAGCATGAATTAAGTTGTCTCCCTATCACTTGTCCACTGGTTGCTACAGTGTGTAGATGCAAATTATTTGGGTCATTTAAGAACACTCCATTGATTTTGAGGTAGTTTCTTTTTGTCTCATCATATCAATGATTGCTTTGTACCAGAGGAGCAAGAGAAGCAAAGGAGGGCGAGTCACTTTTTATGGAGGGTCGCTGCTGTTTATTGAACAGTTTTTATTTCCCTCCTAAAGGTTTTAATTTGTCATATTTCCTGTTGGTGAAGAAGTGTTCACACCAGAATTTAATCGCTGCCTCATGTCGACAGGACATTTCTCCACTGAGGCCAAAATTTGTGATTTAGGCTCATGAGTAGAACTCATCAGAGCTGTGTTTTTGAATAGAGATCTCTCCTGATGCAGATCTAAAGCTTTAAAGGGAACAAGACTTTTGTTTGTACAACTGCCTCATTTGCAGCTCATCGAGCGATATATAGCAACAGTTAAAACCCGAAAATGAGCGCTAATGTCGCCCGCAGTGACAGTCTGAAATCAGATTCATAGAAAGAGTCGGAGGCAGGACTTCAGCGTAAACGTGCGAGAGCGCAGCGGCGGTGAGAGCAGAGCAAGAATGTGTGTGTGTGGAGGGAAAATGTGTGTGCCTATCAGACAGATTTTGTGTCTGTGTGGCTCGGCTTTGATGTCTGAACACACACACACTCATGCACGAACATGCGCACGCGCACTACAAATGATTGTTTTTAAGAATTCAAGCCAGGGAGCTCCGGTAGGCGGTCTGCCAGCTGGCCACGGTCCAGAGAGTGGAGCGTAGCCAGCACAGAGAGGAGAAACCTGGCCGATACACACCACTCACCACACACACACACACACACACACACACACACACACACGCACACACACACACACACACACACACACAGTCACAGATGAGACATATTCACGAAGAAATACACCGTTGTTTGAAAAACAGCAAATATTCCCTCGCACACACACATATAGTCTTTCTCTCTAGCTCTCCCTCTCTCTCTTTCTCGCTCACACACACACACACACACACACACACACACACACACACACACACACACACACACACACCTTTCCACTCACTCGTCTGCTCGCTCTCCCTCTTCCACACCTGTCCTTGTTTTTTGTCCCCTATCTCATGTGCTCTCGCTCCTCTCCTTACCTTCGTCTTTCCTCTCATCTCAGCCATCTCAAAGCTCTTCACTTCCTCCTTCATCTCCCCCCACACACACACACATCCTCCGCAACACTCCCCTCTCCATACGCCTCATAGCAGCGCCAGATTGGGGGCTTTTCATATTGACAGCCCTGTTCTTTTACTGGCTTTACATCGTTTGTTCAATCACTAACCTCCGCTATCCCTTCTTCCCATCATTCCCTCCTTTTCCTTTTCTCCTCCCTCCTCCTTTCCCCCCCCCCCCCCCACAAGTCCCTCTGCTGTCTTTGTTTCCCTCTTCCTCTTTCTCATCTCCCCTCCCTCCCTCCGGAGTTTTATCACTCATCATTACCCGGGGGATTGGCTTTAGATGGCTGATAGAGCCTTTTGGCTAATTGTCGCCATTTAGATTCACTGGTTGTTAACCAGTCAGAGTAATCACACACACACACACGGTGAAGTGTACACAGTCCTGCATTTACATTGCAGCATGAACACGCAGACACACTGAGTGCCACACACACATGCTGGGAGCAGTGAGGGGGTGTTGGTGGTTTTGCAGTGCGACTGTGGAATGCGTAGGATGAGTTTTTATGGAGTGCTGTTTACTTTGGCCACCACCGTTAAACTTTTAACGGCTGCCAATTAACGGGCCGGCAAGGACACTCTGTGGGGCATGAAACCAGCTGCTGGAGAACACACACACATACACATACACACACATACACAATCACAATCCAAGCCTTTTGCCCCATAATGTGGAGTTGTGTGTCTCCAGTGTGGTGTGTGCATGTTTGTGTACTTGTGTATGTGTGCGGCGTTGTCGTTGAGGTGGGATGTTACTGGAGGGAAAAACAGCAAAATCATCACAGGCGCACGCACATACACAAGTACACAAACATGCACACACCACACTGGAGACACACAACTCCACATTATGGGGCAAAAGGCTTGGATTGTGATTGTGTATGTGTGTGTATGTGTATGTGTGTGCGCCTGTGATGATTTTGCTGTTTTTCCCTCCAGTAACATCCCACCTCAACGACAACGCCGCACACATACACACCGACCCTCACCCCATCCCCACACACATCCGCCCCCGACAACACAAACCAATGAGACCTCCTCTATCCTACGATACAGTTCAACGTCCTTGAAGACGAGGAACAGAGTGGAACGACCATTCACCTCCCAGTGACCTCCTGGGAGGACTGTGTGTGTGTGTGTGTGTGTGTGTGTGTGTGTATTAAGGAGGGGGGGTTGCGATGCTTCATACTATTTGTCCTCTTGGTTTGGGGAAAAATTCCATCCAGTTAAATGTTGCAAACACTTGGCAGTAGCTGTCTGCTGTGGTTTTTGTCACCACTTCGTCCACTGTAAATAATGTCAACTCATGAGGCTTGTTTGTGTAAAAGTGCATTTATGGTGAAAGAAGCACTAACTGGCCATATTTTTTCTGTGTTTTTCCAAAATGGCCCCATTTCATGATAGATTGTTGAGATAAACTGTTTGTTTAGAGGGCTGCTGAATGTCAACGCTACAGACAGACATCAATTCTCTCTCCTTGTGACAGGGTACCCCAGCTATTCAGGAAGTCTTGCTTCTCCTTTTCTCCCCATGAGTCCCCTGGATCACCATAGCAACAGTCTCTACGGACAGCACCGCTTCTATGAAACTCAAAAAGGTAGGTGTGGGTGCGTGTGAATGTGACAGAGTGAAAAAATAGCTTCATATTTCCCAAACTGCTTAATCAGCACTAACCACAGGAGTAAGAGCGGCTGGTAACTCGGGTCTAGTTTTTCCAGTTGGCAACTTCTCATTCCCTTTTCCCCACATACCTGCAAACACATTTTAATATAGTAATTTTAATCAAACTTTATTAAAAGTAATGTTTTTAACAGCTACTTTGCAGCCAACTCTTCTCTCTATATTTTCTAAAACCCCTCAACTTTAGGGATTTTAATTCTTCTCCTCGTCCCCCAGATCACTTCTACCTGAGAGGCCTTCCTCCCCAGCCCCCTCTGCTCTCCACCAGTCACAGTCTTCCTCCGCTGTCCAGGACTGCCCCCGGCCACTCACTTGGCTCTTGCAGCCGAGAGACGGACAACGGGGGAGGCGGTGGGAAGAGCACCAAGGACGTGGGTGAGAAAGGAGTTTCATCCGTGTCAAAGGCGAAGGAGCGATCAAGCAGCAAGGAGCGGCACCAGGAGAGCAAAGAAAAACAACATCAGCTTCATCATCACCATCCTCATCAGACGAATCCTGCCACAGCTCCTTCTGGCCACCACCACCAAGCTTACACCCACCCTCACCATGCCCTCCTTCCTCACCTCGCACCACAGGGCAGGGAGGAAGACCACAGACACTCTCTGGAGCGACACAAGGAGTACAGAGACAGTGAGTCAGCCAGTCAGGAGACGAAACACATGAGTGCCTGTAAGCTGTCCGGTGGTTCGATAGCAGAGACTGGAGGAAAAGGGGGAGCACTGAGCAGCTGCAATGGTGGTGGGGTTGGTAGACCTCCATCTGGAGGAGGCAGGCGGTGCTCCAAGGATGGAACCGTAAACGGGGAGATGAGGATCAGTGAATCCTCAGCTTCTTCCAATGAATGTATGAGAAGAGGTGCGTCTAACGCAACAGCCATCTTGGCACCTCCTAACCCCCACACTGTGGCCTCCTACTCCATGCCTCCCCCTCCGCCACCTCCTCCTCATGCTTTGCACATGGGCTCCACGGTGGCAGGAGGGTGGCTACATCACGCACATCACCATCCTCATCCCGAGTTCTACTGTCCCCCGGGCCCTCTCACACTGACACCCTCCAAAGATTCTGCATCCACCCCTGGAGGGTCTGGCAGGGAGGCAAGAGTAACTTACGTGCCCTCAGTTGGGCCCCTAGGAGACCTGGCAGCCACCGACTGTCGTGGAGCAGGAGGAGGTGGGAGAAAGTCAGATGACAGAAGCGGAGAAGGATCTTATGAAAGTCCCTCTCATCACCACAGCCGACCTAGTGTTTGCCAAAAGAAGGACAAATCGCAGCCACACCAGCAGCAGCTGGGATATGGCAAAGCTGACAAACCTCCTGACTGGAGCCACCAGACGCAGCACTTCCACAAGCCCAGCTCCAACGCGAGCTCTCAGTCTGAGCTGCGGTCCTGCAGCATGGACAGATCGTCATCCTTCAGAGATGTAGAGGTTGTGGACGATGTTTACCGGCCCTCGCTCCCACTAGAGGCCCAGGGGACACACCTCGGCGCTGAACAGGGCACACCTAAGAACGGCCCAGACACCAGCACTCCTCCCTTCAGGGACTGTTCCCACTCAGGTCCTCATCCTGATGGGAGGGTGGGGTCAGGGGCAACATCTCAGAGGGAGGGACAAAAGGTTGCAAGGGTACGGCACCAGCAGCACAGCAGCCATGGAGCATCAACAGAAGAGAGGGGAAGAGACAGAAGTCTGACAGCGCCTTCCTGGGGGGCTCGAGGGGGCTACCAAGAGGACCAGAGAAAAAGCTCCCATCATGCACCAGTTGGTAACGGTGAAGCAAGAGGGCTCAGCATCAGAGCTCCAAACAGTGACCACAACCAGCCCCATTCTCAAGTGCTGTCTCGCTCCTCGTTGCACACCGCTGAGGGCGAGGGCAGTGCTATGAAGAATCTAATGAACTACAGCTCCCAGCAACCTTTGCTGCTGCCACAGCGGGGCCCCTTTGGAGGTCTGGGTGGCCTCAAGCAGGGTGGAGAGAGATCAGAGAAAGGGGAACGTGGAGGAGCTAAAAGCAACTCTTCCCTGCAAGAGCCTCCCAAACAATCGCTCCTTCCTCGCCGAGGCTCCACTAACGAGGGAGAAAGGGGGGACAGAGGTGGGAAGGAGGCCGGGGAGGCAGGTGAGGGGGAGGTGCGACAGCCTCCAGTGGGTATTGCGGTTGCGGTAGCCAGGCCCCCCCATCGTTCCCCAGACAACACCCCTGGACACAGCAGACAGGGCAGGGTGCTGCCCAGCATGAAAGGTCAGACATCATTAATGCTCCTTGCGCTGAAAGTCAATTAATGCTATTTCTGTGCTCCAGGCTACATTAAGGGCAAAATCCATGATTAAACACTTGAGCACAGTTATTGGTGTTGTTCAGTAACATTTCTTGGTCCTTTTTGACGTTTATTGGGGACTTATTTCTATGATTAACTGGCAAAACGAAGACAACTTTGCAGAGAAGCTTTAAGCATGTCGGACCTTTAGACTCAAATTACAAACAGTTTCTGTCTCCATGTTGCACATTCAGGGAGAAAGTCATTGTACAGGCACATGTAGAAAAGGTACAATGTATGGCATGCAATGAACATCACAATATGTCATCATTATGTATACAAACATCTGCAGGTAGACTTTCCCTTTTTTTTTATCACCAGAATGTCCTCAGTGCTTTGTGTTTTCAGACGTGCGTACGTATGTTTGAAACATACTTTTGATGACAGTCGCCGTAAGCGTGTTGCTTTGATTGTATTCACAATGCAGCAGTGTCACGCCACGTGTATACTCTTGGCCGGGAGGCAGAGGAGAGGAAGAGGATGACAGAGGAACAGATCAGCCTTCATCACCTGGACAGAGAGAGAGAAATGATCATCAGGTACACTTGTAGTCAAAAACACCAACACAAATGAACACACACACACACACACACACACACACAAGCACATGGTAGCATCTATTAATTTTTCCTCTCATCTGATAAGCTGCAGTTCTTTTCTTCTCTCTCTCTCTCTCAGTCTGAGGTTCAGATTCTCTTTTCTCTCATCCCCTCACTCCATTTACTCTTCTCACCCTTTGATGTGGTATTTCTGTACCCCTTCACTCTCTCTCTCTTCCCCTTTCTCTCTCTCTTTCCCTCTGAGATGAGATGTGGTGCATTAATGTTACAGGGACTAATACGGATGTCTCTGAAGTATCAGGCTCTTATTATGTAGTCATATTAAGGGAAGAAAACATATAATGAGAAATCATAGACCAGGCACAAGATGATGGCTGTTCCTTTTGCCGTCATATTTCCTTTTCTTGATGATCATAATGGTAGTAGTGGTAATGAAGATGACAAGGATGAAGATAATGGTCATAATGATGGTGATGATGATGGTGACAATGAGAGGGATAATAAAGATAATGACAAAGTTCACCCCCGCCTACCGCCACGACAGGGAAAACAAGGACCGCGTGGAGTTCGCCAGGATCCACCCATCTAGTAGTTGCCACGGTGACCTGACCTCTCACCTCTTGGTTCCCGGAGGGGCCAGTAGGTTAGGGGCCGACCCTGCTGCCCATGCTCACCCGGCTCACCACCACTGGATGCAGAGGACAGGAAGTCCCTCCCTCTGGATGGGGCATTCATACAGTGAGTAGAGTGGAGGGGCAGCACGTGATGTTTTCACAGCCAGTTGAGCACAGTTTTGCTTTACAGTCTGCACCTTAAACGCTCTCCTTTCCAACAGTAATATGTTTCTTATTGTTTTGTTGAGATCACATGGATTACCATCATATTGATATTTGATGTCTGGGTTTTTTGTCTTTCTTTTGTACAACCATGGGGACTTTGTTAATAATGCTGAATACAGAGTTTTTCTTAATCTATTTGTTGGAAATGTTGTATTGAGAGAAGGTGTTTAGAACAGTAAATGTAAAAACATAACAATTGCATCCTATAATTGACTTACACAGACAAAATCAAATAAATCAAACATCTAGAAAAGAAGAGACTTCTCATGCATAGAGGAGCAGGAGTAATAAAGAGGAGAAGCAGGGTTCAACACCAGCTTCCTAAACGATCCATTGATAAAATACAGTCATTTTATTGAAACTCCACATTGCTCCAGCCTGCAAGCGCCAGAAGTTTGCTCTTTACATATGTTTGAAGAGCACCAGGGAAATTTTGTTTGTTGAGTGGTCCCAAGATCTACCCTCTAAAGCACACCGCTTTTTTTTTTGGGAGTAGTAAAATAAATATTTAAATGTCGCCCTCATTTGACTGTGTTATGCGTGTGTCGTTATTCTAGGTCTGAGCCACGTAGGAATGAGCCCCGGCTTCCCACCAGGTCTGCCCAGCCCTCTGCAGCCTGTCTTGGGGTCGCTCACCCAAGACCCCAACTCCCCGCTGGTGGTCCTTCCTACAGAACCCGGGCCTCATCATCACCTCGGTACGCTAAGCATCCTTTTACAACAGCACACACACACGCACACACACATCCATCAAAGCCCATATACATTGTTGTCTGCCCGTACTTACTGCCCCTGTATACCTCCCTCCGTCTCTCCATTTGTACCATCAGAGCCGCTGCCATTTCTCTCCCAGAGTTTTAGTATCATTGGCTAATCATAATATAATGCTCAACTAAGCCCCTCTGTCAGTGGGACCGTGTTTTATAGCTCCGTTAATGGGAGCAGCTATTCCATTGCCCCCCTCTGCATGTGCCCGGCATTATGCAAACCATTTTAACTGGCGTTCATCTCTTTCACGGTGAAGCACTGGACTTTGTGTGTGTGTGTGTGTGTGTGTGTGTGTGTGTGTGCGTGTGTGTGGGGAAATCGACAGTTAGTTGTGTTCATGTCTGGATCAACACGAGACATTGCTCAGTGTTAAAGGTTGTTCTGTACATCTCAGCCATTGCTAGAGAGAGAAAAGAGTGTTTGTGTGTGTGTCTGTGTGTGTGTGTGTGTCTGTATCTGTGTGTGTGGGTGCGTCAACCCTGCTTTGCAAACAGGCTGTGAAATTTAATTATCTCCCGCCTCCCTTGCCTCGCTCCGTGGGAGTTCCTGCAGAGAGGGGAAGTGCATCCACTGAACCCTTCCCCTGGGAAACATTAGCCCACTCAGGCTAATCTCACAGAACAAAGGTTCCCAGCGACAAGGCAGCCAAGGAGGGATGTGCTTATGTGTGTGTGTGTGGGTGTGTGTGTGTGTGTGTGTGTGTGTGTGTGTGTGTGTGTGTGTGTGTGTGAATCTAAATTCATATGTGGCCAGGAAGTGGCTTTGAAAAAGATGTGTTTCCTTGAATAGAGAAATGCCATCATTAGACCCAGAACGAGCTAAAGAAGGTGAATGGAGGATGTGAAGCATGCATTCATTGATTGTGTCTAAGGCCAAAAGACAGCCCATACAGGTCACAGTTGTTACATCTTTAGTTAAGGTGGCCGAGCTCCTCTGCAACCCCAGTTTCAATATTCACAAGAGCAGTTCAAGAGTCCATTGACTCAGTTTTTCTTCATGACTTTAATGCAACGGTCCATGAAAATAATGTTGTACTGACTATTTTATTGCCAACAGGAATGTCTTACTTTCTTCTTTTTTGTGCCAATTTTCTTTGATTTTTTTCAAATCAAAGAAAATATTATGGAATCTTTTATTTCTCATTCTCTCTGTTTCTTACTCCAGACGTTCTGGAGCAGTCAGGTCTGTGGCCCCCTGTGTACGGCGGCAGAGGCCCCCCTTCTCATCTGCAGCATCACCCCGTCTACTCCCGCTCCTCATTCTTACGGCAACAGGAGCTGTACGCCCTGCAGCATCAGCACCAGCAGCAGCAGCAGCGAGCCATGGAGCACATGCAGCGCCACTCCTTAGGACAGGTACTAATACCAATGTAACCCAGACACATTTGGTTACATTTTTGTCTAAACTTTAGAAACATATTATTGTGAAACTGTGGGCAAATGAGAAATAGGAACTGTGGATATATTGTGAACTTATGCAATTGTTCATCCTCCTCCTGAGTAGTCAGGACTAAGATACAGCGCCGCTAATCATTTGTTTGAACAGCTCTCAGTTCAGATCTTATCGACACTAAGAGAGAAGCATATGCCGGTCACGCTCATCAATAATTATTAAAGTCAACGACTTCTTTTTGGCAAACAGTTTCATTGATAAACAGGTGTTTGCGTTGTGCTTTTGCACTCTCACATTGTCAGATCATTTGGCAATCAAACACCGCGGCTGACTCTGTGACGTCATTTTTCAAGGCTTTCCGGTCAGAATATCTTTGGGGTATTTCTGTGGGTACTATCCCTATTTATTTTAAGTAAACTGCTGCATCTTCTGCTTGAGACAAAATGCATCAAGAAATAAAACATGGGTTAAATTGCTGTGGTTGAAGTGTTTTAATTAATAGGAAATATTATGTATTTATTGTTCCTTAAGCTACTATTTTCACCCTCTTGTTTCAACAGAGAAAACACGATGAGCATGCTATCACCATAGAGGACTCTTCCCACGAATCTTCCGCATCTGGAACTCCCCCCTCTTCATCCTCTTCTTCGTTCACCACCTCCCCCCACATGGCCAAACCTTTCTCACACACCCTGCCTCCACCCAAGACGCCAACGCCGTCTCCGGGGATGTGTCCCAGCAGCCGCCAGTCACCCTGCTACCACTCCCCATCCAGGAGACCTCACCCGCCAAACCCTCTGACCCCTGCGCCGAGCCCGGCAGCGGCCGCACCCCGCTCCCCGGCCCTCAGCCCCGCTCCTTCACACCTCTCTAAGGGGCTGGAGAGGGGCAGTGAAAGAGGAGAGGGACAACCACCTCAGGACTACCCACAATCCCTAGAGCCAGGTGAGTGTGGAGAATTCTGTAGGCGGGTTAATGGATGCAATGTATTAATTCAAGAAAAAAAACGTTACTAGTAGGCTGAACAGTCAGGTAACATAACTATAGACAGAGAGTTAGAGACAAGGAAAAAGGCTCAGAGATAGACAGATGTAGTTTGAGAGAGATGGAGGGTTCTGCTGCAGAAATATAGCCCCGGTCTTTGAAGCGTGGCATTCTTTTGATTTTGCAGAAATTGTTTGAAGCATGGCTGATCCCTTGCTCTGTGTGTCCTTGAGTGCGTGTGTGTGTGCAATTTTCTGTGAGAGCTAAAGAGGGACAGCGGGCGGGTCAGCCATTAAGGTCAAAGAAAGCATATGGGCACTCAGTGTGTATATGTGTGACCTGCCAGCGTGTGTGTGTGTGTGTG